AGGCGCGTCATCAGCTTGAGATCGTTTTTTTGAGATCGGCCTTTTTAGAGACCGCCGATCAATCATCCCAAAGCGATTATCGGCCGATAGTGATCGGTAGCCGATCAATCGGAGCACCCCTACTTTTGTGCAATAATGTGGTTCTCAAAGAAATTGAGATTGTTACAGTGATTTTTACTGTGGTAAAGTGGCAACAACAAAAACATGGTGTTAAATAAATTATTAATTTGATTAGTAAATATAATAAATAATTATTCTGTAGCTCATCCAATCAAATTTCAGAGTCGGAACAAGCCTATTCATTTAATAATGATACATATAATGTGATCTCTTTATCTGCTAATACTTTTGGACGTCCTTTGATTGCAGAAGCATGATTTCTATTAATTATAAGAACAAAGCAGCATGCTGTCTATCCCAAACTTAACTCATCGTTAGTCTCTTGTATTGTTATTGAACGGGGGACTTCTAATGGACCTATTGTTTTCAACAGGATGGGGAATTCCTGGTGCGGACGCACCATGTGGAGTATGTTGACGGGGGGATCCTGGACCCAGATGACATGCTGACAGACCTGGTGGAGGACAAAGACAAGGTAAGTCTACCGTGGTACTTATTCACAAACACTACAGCTGGGCAGAGAGGTTTTATGAATACTGTTATCTAGCATGTTTGGCTCTAAAATGTACGGTATGTTTGAATGCAGTTACGTTTCCTGCAAGTGACAAATCACTTTGTCTATAGCAGTGGCCATCTCCGAGCTCAGGTTGTTTAGTTCATTATTAATTTAGTTTTCATTTGAATATGATGTTAAGTCTGTAATTAACTAAATCTACTGTAATATATTTGGAGTCTGCCAAGTTTTGTTGAGCTGTCTGGACATCTAGAAGCAGTGGGAACTAGCAAAACAAGTTACTTCAGTGTGTTAAACAGACGTTTAGCTGGGACTTGTTTAGCCTGCCCTCCCTGCCTTGAGCGGATTGGTGTACACACCAATGACCTCATCACTATTTCAGGAGCTTTGGCTCCAGTTTGACACATTTACTTTTTTTTTTTTTTTTCACTTTTTGTGTAACAAGCTGTGAAACAATATAAACCCATAGCCCTGACTGAATAACTACATCTGCCCTACTTAATATGAATGATTTTACCTAATATTAATATTCATGCCATTTGTGTCATAAATGGACATTTTGCATAGCATAATCTTATAATTTTTTTTAAATTTAAATAAGCATAATAATAAGTCTAGTCGCATAAATGGAACAGATTATAAATTCTTACTCAGCAGGGGTTGAATAATTGCTAATAAAATATTCATATGATATTCAAAGCTATTAATGATTAAGTTGCTTCGTTCATTTGAATTTTCAAATTTTTGAGATCTTAAAACTGGTTCAGTTTATTAGGAATTAAATAGTTATTCTGGGGAAGAAGTTGTTGGCAGAATTCAGCTGTTTAGCTATTAGGGACATGGAAAAATGATTTGATATTTCACCCCGAGCTGCTTTCTAATTTATTGTTTTTATTCATATGGTCTGTGTGCTTTTGTTGTGATATGGATAGACAAATTACAAATATAGATCTGCAGATGTTGACACATGAAGATGCATGAAAATTGAGTGTCTTTGTGTATTAGAGGAGAGATTCTGGTTATTTTATATTTATGAAAATACATTAATGTTGTTAGTGCCAGGGAGTTGTTATGCTTTTGCTAAGGTGTTCTGAGTGTTTTTTAAGCATATTGCTATGGAGTTGTTAGGGTGTTCTGGGTAGTTGCTAACTCTAAAATCTCTGAATTTGTTGTCCACCAGGCGAAAATAAGTTGGATCACTTACGAAAAGTAATAAAACCACCTTCCTTGATTTGAGGTTTCTGTAGCACAGACAGTGCTGGACTAGTTATGTGCTGAAGTTGAATGCTTACACTGTGTCTACACCGGACGCGAGTGGCACGGCGCGACAAAATACTATAGAACCCATTAAAATCATTGATGCTGTCTACACTGGATGCGGTGTGGCATGACATGACAAATAAGAGTTAATTTAAACAAACTATTAAAGGTGCAATAGGTGATTGTCTAAAGAATTTTTTTTTGTTATGCTGGTTGAAAGTCTCTTCTCATTCCAATAGCAATTATTAAGTTAAGTGGTCTAAATGTATTTATCTGTATTTATATATTCTGTGGAAGACGTAGGACCAAGAAATGTTCGTCCAATCAAAACGCTCGGTCCAAGCGTTTTAATTGGCTTTCCTACCTGCCTGTCAACGTGTGTATTAGCATACCTCTGTGCACCCTGTTCGCGCAGACAGGATCCGTCATCCTCGCGGCACCCCGCTCTGCATATTTTGCATGTCTTGCTTAGTTAACACACCCGAGACAGATAACCAGCTCGTTAGAAGTGAGCTACGTGCATGAACTGTGTTCCGATCGATATGATCCCTATACAGTGTTCATTGCTCCCTACTCCCTGAGCAGGGGAAATCCGTTGAAGTTTACTTCACTTCGGAACATTCATTCACGTATTTGCGCTGTGCAGCGTCTTCTCACACAGACGAAACTTACTAGAGAAGTGTGACATAACATACCTCTGTAAATAAATACTATTTAAATTTACGTCTCGCACACTTTAATGCACTTTGTATGGAATATATACGCTCGCTTCGAACTGGAATCATGGTGGAATTTCCGGTGATGTCCACTTCGCAGGGCACTTACGGTCGAATAGAACAAACGTCGCATGTGATAAGAGATACTGGAATTGGGAACTGCTGATGTAGCCTATTTTAGTAATGTTGTCTCTGGTACTCTGGTCTGTCAGCGTATATACGTTCAGGGGGCATGGCTTTGGACGGCGATTGCAGAGGGGGTGGGACGTTCGCTTTCAGTGCTATCAGGCTAAAGTTAGCATTTTCCTTCTGTACCTTTAACACTGAGTTTAAGCAACAGCAAAAGTGATGCTTGCATTAATCATTTTCTGTCATCCTGTTTACATCAGTCTTCATATCCAAAGCATTTTGATGCCTAAAATTGCTGTTTTCGATAAGCAGCCCACTTAGTTTTGGAACAGAGCCGTTCTGACAAACTTTCTGGCATAAAATTTGGGCTGAATAGGAAATGCTGCTATTGATTCCTGCACGATATTGCATTCTAAATGCATTTTTCCTTTTCTTCCTGTAAGTGTTTTCCTTCCATTTAGTCTGAAAAACCATTCTTGGAAACCCATTTTTCACACTGACCGGGCCCATTATGCAGTCAAGCGGCTTTCGTCTCTGTTATAATAATCTTTATCATCCTTTGGAAACATTCCACTGTGATGAGGTCTCACCGTTAGTAGCGCATGCTAATCAACTTTAATAAAAAGCCAGTGCGAGGGAGTCACAGCATCTTCATTAGACTGTTCTTCACCTCCTACGGAGGTTGATTAGGGTGAAGTTGCCATGGCGATGGAATCAGATTACGGTCCCACCCCTGATCTGATGCCCATTAACCCCCAGCAAGAAATGATGACCCTCTGGCCCTGCCCATGAATATTCAGTGTGGGATGATGAATGACGCTAATGCGTGGAGTTGCTGTAGCCGGGGCCCTGGTGGACTCTGGGAGACGGAGAGGTCATACTGGGAGGACGTGCCACACTGTTTCCTTTAGTCAATTAAACACTTAATCACTCCAGTTCTTCTCTTTGAAATGTAATATTCTGTTTTCTGTTTCTGTTTTGGTATTATGAACTTTCACTCATTTTGGGTTGATTATGATGACTTTTGGTGTCTGCTTGTGTGGGTAGATATCTGACAGGGATCCAAAAATGATCATCATTTACTTGCCGTCATGTCAGACCAAATCTGATTGTTTATGACTTTAGTGGAATACAAAATGAGTTAACTAACAATCTGTAAACGGTTTTTCATGCAGTGAAAGTGGAAAAAACATTACATAAAAGTCCACTGTAAACAAATATGTTAAAAGACTTAGCTGTTGCCAGAACTTTACTAGAAAAATATTGTAGATTTTATGAACCAAAGACTTAAACTACTTCAGTCTGTGTGCATTGAATTTATTTAATACACGAGTTTCACAATTTGAGTTGAATTACTGAAATAAATGAACTTTTCCACGACATTCTAATTTATTGAGATGCACCTGTATATATATGTATGTATATATATATATATATATATATATATATTTCATTAACTGTTGAAGTTAATATACCATCCTGCTGAAGTACTAAAATCTATTTTGTACCTTTTATAATATACTGATAGCAACCATTAAAACACTGGAAATGAGAAAGCCACATGCAGAATCAAAGTTCATTACAAGCTTTTCCACAAGCTGAGGTACAGTAAATATTAAGAAATAGAAGAAGCACAGTGTTGTGCAATACAGAACACCATCATGGAAACAAAAATGACAGTAAAATAATGCAGTAAACGTTTAATTTAACCACATAAGATGTAACATAAAACCCTAATGTACATAACTGACAAAAAAAATAAATAAAAACTATTTCAATGAAAAACCATCAAAGTGAGGCAAAATGCAACAACACAAATTTTGGAAAAAAATGGAAATGGGACTTTGCTTGCTTTGTGTGAGGGACAAGCTATTATTTGCTAACAATTTTTGTGCTGTACTCAAATCTAGTTCTCGCTCAAGTTCAGCTCAATGACACGTCAAAACATGTAAACATGTTTTACCAGGTTTGATGACAATGATGTTAAACCTCATTGGCTCTCGTGTGTCTTTGATGTCAAACCTGGCGCAACATATATAAATGAAACAAATTTGAATGCAGTTTTTCAAGTTAATGACTTTCTTTTTTACATAACGGCAAAGTATGGATTCAAAACTTTTGAAATATAGTCATATGGGCTACTTTTAGATAATTTGGATAATGTTGTTTTAAAGTTCAGCAGCTCTCATCGTATAGATCATTGTGCAACAATAACTCCTTTGGTTCTCCATAAAAGAAAAACATCACAGTGAATAGATAATGTCAGAATCGCATTTTTGGAAAACTTTCCAAAATGTAAATTAAAAAAATTTAAACGAACACCTAATTTACAGAAAATCAACAGAAATCTTAAAAAAAGGCTTTTGAGACGGACGAAGAAGGATCGTCCCTGCACTTTTGCTCATCGAGCGAGAGGTCTATACTGATTTCTTAAATTATTAAACTGATAAGTTAGAATTTAAAACCACTTCTGAGGCCACTTCATGGATTACTTGGGTTTTGGTTATATTTACTCCTGCCCTCATTCTGCATGTGTTACACTGCTGACAGCTTCAAAGACAAATGTTTAGGAGCACAATACAGGTATGTCAATATACCTGATATCTGGCATTATCATACTGACCATAAAGAATTCCTCACCCACCTTTCCGAGCTTATCATGCGTTCAGCCTCCCATCTCTTTGCCTAATTCCCATAATCAGCCACTCCAGATGATGAATGGTGATTATGTGTGTGTGTGTGTGTGTGTGTGTGTGAGAGAGAGAGTTTCACTGATAATGACCTAAAGCACCTTCTACACCCAATGATAACAGAGCACTTTACTTTCCCAAGATCCACATTACCTGTACAGCCCTA